GTTTCCTTATGAAGCAGATTATGTCTACCTGGAACTCCAAGGATTACTACATCCCCCACCCCCCTTTGAATACCCCTGGCATCAGCCCACCAATGTGCACATATCCACTGTTGTCAAATTCCTTTCTAGAGAGAGACTAAGCAATATCTGCTCCTCTTCCTAAACTCCCAATGACAAACTGAAGCACAATTCTACCCAAAGTTTACTTTGGGGAATCAATTTATAAATATTTATTGCAGTTTTCCTCTTACCCCAGCTGGCTCCCAAATAACTGAGGCAGGACTATTATATTTATTTAACAAGCTTTAAAAACACAACAAATAGAGCAGTATTACTCTATTTTAATTTTATATGCTAATCTGGCTATCTCCCAGCCAAAATCTCTATGATACTTGTCTTTAGGACTAGTCTGATCTGGTTCTCTGGAAGCTGTTTTATCAGAGCTGCTGGTGGTCTTTCTCACCAAGGGGAATCCTAACTTCCTCTTCTCTCCTTTCTTCATTCCTTTGGCTGGGAGGAAGTCTAGCCCTAGAAAGGAAGTCATTTAGTCATTGATCACCTCTTTTTAATTGAACAATCAGGGAATAATTGGGTAGTAGTTTTGCAACCATATATGGGGACATAGAAATGAACATTTGATTAATACAAGAATAATCGTGGCCGGGCAGTGGTGGCGCATGCCTTTAACCTCAGCACTTGGAAGGCAGAGGCAGGTGGATTTCTGAGTTCGAGGCCAGCCTGGTCTACAAAGTAAGTGCCAGGACAGCCCAGGCTATACAGAAAAACTCTGTCTCAAAAAACCAAAAAAAAAAAAAAAAAAAAAGATAAAGAAAAGAAAAAAAGAAAGAAAGAAAAAGAAAAAAAAGAATAATCTTTATACAATGAACCATACTTTATGCCTAAACACAGATAAAGGTTTACTTACAGGGGTGTGAACACACCTTTCCTCCAACAGGCTACCCCTGGAAAACCTTTTCCTAACAGTGTTAAGGTCTTCTCTGAAACCACATAGAAAGTTCCCTCCCTTAGTCTTTCCTACCCTCTACCCTCTTCTATTGCCTGTTGTATGCCACCATGCCCTAATTATTCAAGGCCTCAGAGAGGGACTAGAGTATAAAAGTTGGCTCAGGATAATCTCAAATCTTCCCAAGCTCCCAAGACAAATCAAGGTACCAAGCAGACCTGCCTCCTCTTTCTACTCTCCAAAGATGAACTTCCTTCTGAGCTCAGGTAAATAAATATTTTTGTAGAACTCAACAGAAGTCGTAGCTTCCTTACAGGTTGTTCGCTCACCCATTAGCTGACAACCACCCACATTTTCCCTCACTCTAGAACTCACTATGTAGATCAGGTTGGCCTTAAACTCAGAGATCCACCTACTTCTGCTGAGATTAAAGGTATGGGCCGCTAAACCCAACAGCCACAGTTTTGTTTTTCCTCCTCCATCATTCTTATTGGAGGAGGTGTGACCTTGTGGGAGTAAGTGTCACTAAATAGCTGGGCTTTGAAGCCTCCTCTGCTCAGGCTCCATCCTGTGTGGAATGAGAGCTTCTTCCTAGATGTCAGTCTCTCCTGGATGCCTGTGGATCAAGATGTAGAACTCTCAGCTCCTACACATCATGTCTGCTGCCATGCTTCTCAGCATGATGATAATAGACTGAACCTCAGAAACTGTAAACCAGCCCCCCCCCCAAAAATGTTTTCCCTTATAAGAGTTGCCTTGGCCATGGTGTCTCTTCACAGCAATGGAAACCCTAACTAAGATACTTTTCTTCTCCAAGTGTCCCTGAAACTTAGGTTTGGGAGTTGTACTGTAGCTGTACTCATTGAGGCTGGGCTCTGCGACTCAGCATTTCAATAGCTTATGGTTTTCTGTAAAAATCTCCACTTATTGCAAAGAGAAGTTTCCTTGAAGAGGAAAATGTTGGATTTTGTCAAAGGCCTTTTCTGCATCAGTTGAGATGATTATGTGATTTTGTCCTTAAGTTCACGTATGTCTTTAAATCCAATTATGCTTATTGCATTTATTGACTATGCATAGTGAAGAACCTCTGCATTTCAGGGATAAGGCCAAATCGGTTTTGGTGTACAATCTTTTTATATATTTTTATATTTTTTAACATATTTTATTGAGCAGTTTTAAATCGATGTTCATAAGGATATTGACCTGTAGTTTTCTTATGTGCATCACTACCTGATTGTGGTACTAGAGTAATAGTAGCTTCATAGAAGGAGTTCTATTTCTCTCATTTTGCTTTGAATAGTTTCATAACAATTGGCTGTAGATCTTCTTAGAAAATCTTAATTTTGCTGTGAGTCCATCTGACCTGAGCTTTGGAAGACATTTTATTACTATTTCAATCTTATCATTTATTGAGCTTTTTAGGTTGTTCTTGGTTTAATTTTGGTAGTTTGGCTGAATCTAAACATTCATTTTTTTTTTCCATTTTTAGGTGTTCCAACTTAATGGAGTATGGATTTATACACTATTCCCTTAAAATTTTCTGAAATTCTCTGGTGAAATGTTTCCTGTTGATTTCTGTATCTGTTCATATGGGTCCTCTCTTTTGCTTAACTAAGCATTAAAATTAATCAGAAGAGGTAAAGAGGAGCATTCCATTCTCGTCAAAGGAACAGTTAACCAAGAAGGCATTATCCTAAATCAGATTCTGTTGTAACCAGTTTCATAAGAAGTGTGCTACTGGATTTAAAGACATGTGGTTTCAATACTCCATTTCCAATACACAGGTCAGCTGTACAGCGAGGGAAAGAGAGAGAGGGAGAGAGAAACATTAGAATTAAATGACATCATATATCAAATATAGTTAACAGATATTTATAGCATATCCCACCCAGAGACTGTGTAATTCTCAGCGCATATGTGTGTGTGTGTGTGTATATATATATATATATATATATATATATATATATATATATATATATTCTGCTCTAAAATAGACCACATCCTGATACACAAATCTTTACAAGTTAAAAGATTGAAATAACTGTCTTATTCAATGTAATAAAACTTAAAATCAACATCAAACGACTCTAGTAAATTCACAAATTCATGGAAACAATTCTTACTGTATGATGAATGGGTCAAAGAGAAAATCATGAAAGAAAGAAAAGTTTCTGGAATTGACTGGAAAAGATAACAGCACAACAAAACGTGAGACTTACTGAAAATATTTATGCCCCTAAGTGTCTACATCCAAAATCAGAAAGAGCACAACTAAGTGACTTGATAATGCAACTCAAAAATTTGGAAACCAATCCAAATCCAAGCCCAGTTAACACCAGGAAATAATGAAATCAAAACAGAAATTAATAAAATAGGAAAATACAAAAAAATAAAAATCAATGAGTCTAAGTGTGGTGTTCTATGAGAGAATAGATTTTTGTCTTTAAATCCAGTAACACACTTCTTATGAAACTGGTTACAACAGAATCTGATTTAGGATAATGCCTTCTTGGTTAACTGTTCCTTTGACGAGAATGGAATGCTCCTCTTTACCTCTTCTGATTAATTTCAGTTTGAAGACTATTTTGTTAGATACTGAGATGGATACCTGCTTGGTTTCTGTTCCTATTTGATTGGAGTATTTTGTCTTCTGGGGCACTGCCCCAAAGCTGTGTTTATTGTAGAGACCACAAAGATAGATTTTGTATCTTGATCTATTCAGTCAGCCCATGTGTCTTTTGACTGGAGAATTGAGGCCATGGCCATTAACATTTAAAGTTATTATTGAAATGTGTGCATTAACTGTGGTCATTATGTTGTTGAATTTTGGTGGTGTTTGTGTTCTCAGGGGTCCTTTCTGTTTTAGTTAATTATGGTTGGTTCTATGTTTCTTTCTATAGTCTACTGACTATGCTCATTCCTCTCTTTAGCCTGATATATTACTTCCTGTATTTTCTATAGGTTTGGTTTGTTGGATATTTTCTTTTTTCTTTTCCTTTTTCTTTCTTTCTTTCTTCTTTTTTTTTTTGGTTTTTTATAATGTGGAAAAGTTTTCTTTCTCCTTCAACTACAGTTAATTGTCTATGTAGTCCGTCTTTTGCAACCCCCTCACACCAGACAGGAGAGAAAAAAGGAGAGGAAAGGAAAGAGATCCCTGAATAAAGTCAGACATTGGAAAGGGGATGACATTGTCATTACACAACTTCTTGCTGATTAGGGGCACTGGATTCATTGGGGGCAAGTTTGATCTTTACTGTCAGTATATCAAACTTCTTGTTGTTTCTTCTTTGTGCATGACTATTTAACAAACTGTGACCAACAACAATCAACAACCAATCAATAACACACCCTACCTCTCAGGGCCCTAGCATTTATATACCCTCTGAAAAGTCCCCAGAATTCCAAGCATCACACAAGCACAGAAACTATCTGCTGCTGGCAAAATCGTATCTCTGCTAAGGCATGAGGCAAATTATAGTCAGCTGCTGTGGACAACGTAAAGCAGTCTTATGTCCCCACACCTGGGATTAGAATGAAAGCACATTCTTATTTCTGTGTTTTTTAAAGAAAGCAAAATTCTCATTCCACGTCTATTGTTCTCCACCCTCTGATCACCTCTAACATGGCTGAGTAGTAACTCCTAGTATCAGTGATGAAGTGAAAAGTCCGGGACATGGACTCAGGCAGGTAACTGGTTCTCCTCTTACTGTGTGAGTTTAGAAAAGCCATCTCTGTGCCCCAAACACTGCATTGCTCAAGTCCGAAGTTATAGAACCAAAGTGAACCTTTGACTGGGGCCTTTATCTCTCAGCTGTAAAGTCATACTTGCCCAAATAATTCTGAAAGAGTGAAATTAATCCACTTAAGTTGAGAAATGTGCTATTTCAAATGGACATAACAAAATATCAGTTTCCTGGCTGGAGTAAGTTAACAGTTTAACTTTAGATTAAGTTTCCACAAGATGTTGAGCATTTCCATAAGGAGCCTCCTGCTGCTCCCAGCCCCCTTGAGATTCAATACACTGGACCTTTCTTGCTTACATTCTGAAGTTCTTTATTTATGTCGATGAAAGGAATTTCATTATCCTACAAAGTCATGGACACTTCCATTTCAAAGTATTACAATCAATTCAGTTTTCTTTTAATCATAAAGCCTTGCCATCTTCTTGGCATGATTCACAAAACAGAAAAGAGAAGGCAGAGTTCATGATTCTTCTGAGCGTCCATGTATTTTACATTCCTGGACCTGATAACAATTTAATTCAATTCACACTCACTAGCTGATGTCTGTGTGAAGATACCCATGTCTTAATCCCTAGATCCTGGAACAGAGATACATGGCCAAAGGGTGTTAAGGCTGTAGGTGGAATACGGTTGCTAATTAGGAACCTTAAATCACATGAGATCTTAGGCCAGGCAGAAGAAGGGAGTCAGAAGGGACCTAAGGACCCACACTTGTTGCCTGAGAAGATGGAAGTAATGGGACAAAACAAACAAACCAAAACAAACCTATCAAAAAAGCCCACATGAACAGATTCTAGAATCACGGAACTGCAGGATGTAAGTCATCCCTTATTCAGGCCCCAGAAAGGACCACAGCCTTGCAATACAAGCTTTGATAGCAGCACAGTAAGTCCTAGAACTCCACAGAGTTGAGATGAAACAGTCTGTTGTCTTGAGACGTGGAGTCTATGGAGTTTTGTTAGGGCAGCCACAGGACACTAGTCCGGGGCCCCAGAGCTGCCTTCAGCTGTGGAAGAGGCATGGGTACAAGAAAGGGAAACCATCCTACATTAAATCTTTGCTGTGACAGTGGTAATGCCTTTTGGTTTTCAATGAAGGGAGAGGAAAAAGCTAGAATCAGTATTTTAACAAGCACTTCAGATAATAAAAGTTTGGAAAACTAGATTATATTTATTAGACATTATCTTAAAACGCGGATAACTATATGATGCTTCTTTCTGGATTCATCTGCTAAGCAATAGCTCTCAATCTTCCTAACACTGCAACCCTTTAATACAGCTCCTCGAGTTGTGGTGACTCCCTAACCATAAAATCATTTTCATTGCTACTTCATAACTCTAACATTGCTACTGTCATGACTCTTAATGCAAATATCTGATATGTGATCTATCTGATCTGTGACCCCTGTGGTCACAGCCTAGAGGTTGAGAACAACTGAGCACACCAAGAAAAAACACTAGGCTGTGGTGCCTTACCAAGGCTCAAATGACAAGACACATTTAATAGTGCTAACAGGAAAACCCTGCAGGAACTTTATGGGTCTGGGCCTGCAGAGGTGTCTCCTCCTTTGAAAGTTCCGATGAGTTCTAAGATTATAAACATCAAATCTGTTACCTTTGAAAAGTCATTACAATTTGTTGACTAATATTCATGGAGTCATGGGAAACAAAACAGTTTCACTCACACAATACATTTTCTTTAATTTTATACAAAGAGAGTAATGTTTCACATATCACAACATACATTAAAATGTTTTTTAAGCACTAATCAGTATGAAATGAAAGTAAGTTTATTGACAGGTTAACAATGTCCACAGTAGTACCCCTATGAGTCCTGTTGATGATATCAGCTGTAACAATGTTTGAAGGGGAATATGGGCATTTTAAACTATATTTTACCTAGTTTTTCTTTCTCCACCAACTCCTGTGTACAGTAAAAGATGCGCTCAAAAATACCGTAAAGGTGTTATGTTAGGGCATACCTCTGTCAATGACCCAGCACTGCAAACCACCCCCATCTGTTTACAAGTTTGATATAACCTAGGAGGAAGTAAAAGATTCGGTGGAAGAAAAATGTTAATATAGACTGTTAGCCAGAGGAAGAAAATCCACAAAGATGGTAACAGGAATAAGAAAATTAGTGCAATTAAGACAGATACACAATAGTTAAGATAATTTTCTCTGGTTAAGTCAATGCACCTCACTCAGCAATTCCAACACTGAGAGGAGCAGGTACACAATCCAGAGTCCTGCTTATTAATTCTCACCCAGGAATCATTGGGTCTACACTGACTGACATTACAACGGATATTCCACAACAATAGAAAAATCAAACCATTGTGGTAGGTGAGGTTTTTTTTTCCCATTAAAGTACACAATTTAAGAAAACTTCACCAGAGGATGCACTTTGGAAAGATATGGTCAGAGTATACAGTGTAGACAAGACAGGCACCTCCATGGTAATTTGTCTTAATAACTAAAAGCTCGTTAGGAAACACGGAAGATAAGCAGCACCTGAAGCCTCGACATCATAACTAAACACTTGTACCCATGGTCTAGCCAGTTAAATGTTACTAAGAGCTGCAAAGTAGGAGCTGCTGTTGACTTAACATATTCTAGTAGAGACAAGGGCTGGTCTGGCTTGCAGTCCCGTCGCCTGGAGGGAAGGAGGATCCTGATCCTTCATGTCTCCTATACTTTGGAAAGCAAACCAGACTCCGGGGCACTCGCCTTAATTAGGTTCTGAATTTCCTTGAACTTTGGGTGGTCTTTGTCAGCCACCAGCTGTAGGAGGACAGCCTCACTAGTGGTCACGATGATCCCAGTCCGAGCAAGACGCTAGAAAAAGAGAAACACAGATAAGAAGTGAGAAAGAAAACAGAGATTCCGTAAAAACAGCGGAAGTGGGCCAGGACAACAATCAGGGTCTTCATCTACAGCAGTGGTTCTCGGCCATATACATAAATTCAAAGATAAAGAAAAGTTTCAAAACCAGCTGTATCACAACCATATCATGAGTATTTCTCGATATTATTAATGAGCTAGAAACACGTAAAGGGAAACAGGAAGCCAGAGTCATGTTACCAGGCTACCAGGCTAATCATCATAAAATATGAGCAAAAAGAGAAGAGTGATAGAAATCATATCCCTGTGTCAATCAGTTTTTCATCTACGTGACACTCACGCTGGAGTCTTCTGGGAAGAGGAAAACTTAAAAAAAAAAAATGGCTCCTCCTGATTGGCCTCTCCACAAGTCTGCTAGGCATTTTCTTGATTAATGATTGATGCTGGAGGGCCAGCCCACTGTGGGCAGTGCAAACACCCTGATAAGGAGGTCCTAAGTTATATAAAAAGTAAGCCAAGTGCACTGGCTGGTTTTGTGTGTCAACTTGACACAGGCTGGAGTTGTCACAGAGAAAGGAGTCTCAGTTGAGGGAACGCCTCCATGAGATCCAGCTGTAAGGCATTTTCTCAATTAGTGATCAAGGGTGGGAGGACCCACTGTGGGTGGTGCTATCCCTGGGCTGGTAGTCTTGGGTTATATAAGAAAGCAAGCTGAGCAAGCCAGGGGAAGCAAGCCAGTAAGTAACATCCTTCCGTGACCTCTGCATCAGCTCCTGCTTCCTGACCTGCTTGAGTTCCAGTACTGACTTCCTTTGGTATTGAACAGCAATGTGGAAGTGTAAGCTGAATAAACCCTTTCCTCCCCAACTTGCTTCTTGGTCATGATATTTGTGCAGGAATAGAAACCCTGACTAAGACATCAAGCAAGCCAGTAAGCAGTATTCTGTGGTAGCCTCTGCTTCAGTTCCTGCCTCTGGCTTTCTGCCTTGAGTTCTTGGCCTGAATTCACTCAGAGATCAACTGTGATATGGGAGTTCAGATGAAATAAACCCTCTACTCCCCAAGACATTTTTGGTCCTGGTGTTTATCTCAGCAATAGAAACCAAACTAGGGTACTAGCCCTCCAGGGGAGCACACTTCCCGGGCTGTACCACTTCATCTCTCATTTCACTCTCTCAAATGGAGGCTTCCTTTGGCTTTAAGTTTTGATAGACTCTTGTGTTTTTATTTATAGCACAAAAAAGCAAAAGAGGCATCACATCAGAATTTACCCTGTACAGTGTAATGAAAACAGGAGACCATGGGAAATATTAATACTTTTGCCTGGTGTAACTGCCATTGGGTACCTATTTATTTAAAAATAATCTATAATATGAATATAACTATAGCTATCCAGACTATTTTATTACTAGTTTGCTATCCTATGATACAAAATAGGTGCTTAATTGTATTAAGAAAATAGGGTTCTTAAATTCTTTTTTTTCTGACTCCAAAACAGCACTTGCCAACTTCTCATAATCAGAGCTCTGGCCTAGGAATGATTGGCAGAATCGAAAGGCCTCAAGTGAGGTTTGAGAATCTGCCCCAGGGAAAAAACGGAACCACCACATCTTGGCCGTCATAAACATTTTTAGAATAACTAAACAAGGGTTATAAGATGGAAAACTGTGTAAAGCTCCCTAACAGGACTGCTCTCAACAGAGAGACTTTGTCAGCTGTTCCAGCAGAACCACAGGAACTATAACAGGTACTTCAAGGAGGTGGGGATAGGAGGTGGGGGAGTACAAAGGGAAAAGCAGAGAGGAGAAAGTCAGGAGGGGGCAGGGAGAGAATCCAACAGTGGGGACTTTTCCTCCTGTTGTATGGATCAGAATCTTGTTCATCTACCCTAATAATCCTTGGAGATGCTGGAAGTTGGGTCACATTGGAGTGTACAGGGCCACTTACCTAAAGACTGGGGGGTTAAAACTAACTGAACAAAGAACCTATTGAAAAGGAAGGTGTGGCACAAAAAATGCAAAGCTTTTAGAGCAGGCTCCTAGGTGTTTGCATAGAGGTTGCCCTCATGGATTGAGAGGAAGCTGGACAGACAATAGCAACAGCTTCTGGTGCTCTGTGCACTTCCTGATCATTCACTCTTCCTCCTTATATCTGCAGTCAGTCTAACTGGGCCAATGAAAAAGGAAGGCTGGTTCCTTGATGTTCAACCTAAGACTATAAGTCAGTGAAGAAGTACCTAACCTACTTCATATTTGAGTAACACTGAAAAGCGCCCATCAGTACATAAGCCAGTGATGAAGTACCTAACCCACTTCATATCGGAGCAACACTGAAAATCGACCATTAGTACAGGGGCATCAAGAGAGGATTTACTCAATCTATTCTGCAACTCTTCTGAGATCAGACAAAAGTCAGGCAGGTGCAGGTTGCTACAGCAATCTATTATACAATTCTGGACAATTATTACCTCAAAGTGACACAGCCCAACAAATAGCAAGTACATACAAGGACACATCCAGTCAATAAGTCTGTGCCACAGGCCTGATGCTTGTTAACTATACTTCTTGCAAGTGAAATAAATTTAAGAGTCAGTATGGATCAGGAATATCTGAAGTAGTTCTGCTCTGAGGGACGAGGGACTAGAGAAGAAAGCGAGCTGCCCATATTGCTGTTAACTTTCAGTTCATATATTTAAAAAAGTAGTTCTGCAAAAACTTTAGAGACAAACTGCCTATAACCTGGCAGGCACTGCACACCATCACCTGACCTCACCTGCAGACACTGCACACCATCACCTGACCTCACTGCAGACACTGCACACCATCACCTGACCTCACTG